TCGCAGTTGAACTTTTGTTTGTCTTGTGTTGTTGGGGTGTTGTGTGGTCTCTGGTGTGCTTCTCGGCCCGCCTACTTCCATGCCTTGGCCCCGGCCCGCGGCTCCTCCTTCTCCCCTTCTCTCCTTCCTTCTCCTGTCTTCTTCGGCTCCCGGGTTTCCCCCCTCTTCCTTCCCCCTCTCCCTCTCCGTGTCCCCGCCTTCCCCTTGTCCTTCCTTGCCCTTGTGCGTGGTGTGCTCTCCCTCTCCCTGCCTGCTCGGCTTCCCCTCCCCGTCCCCCCGTCCGTCCGGTTGTCGGCCCGGTCTGTCCTTCCTGGTCGTCCACTCTCCCCCCCCCCCTCCCCTCCGCCCTCCTCGGCTCCTAGCTGCCCGTTTTTGCCCCTTGCCTGGCCCGTGTTTCTTTGTCGGCCCGCCCCGGTGTCCGAATAAGAGCCGCGGCGCCCCGCGCTGCCGCGTTGGCGGTAGTTATTTGTCAGCTAATGGTCTTGCAGGTTGCTGCGCGCTTCCGACACGAGGCATCCACTGGCTGCAATCGCTATGCAATTTCACGCATCCAGAGTTTTTTGCTGACGGTCCCGAAGCTCGGCTTTCCTCCGTCCCTTCCTTCTCCTTCCTCCTCCTTTGCTCTTTTCCTTCGTCGTCCTACTGCTTGTGCTGGCGCTCCTTCTCCACCACCCCTCGTTCTCCGCCCCATCCCTATGTTCCTTTTCGTTCCATACCATATTCTCTTCCTCCTCCTCCTCCTCCTCCTCGCCCCTCGCCCCTCGCCTCCTTCCTCCTCATCCTCCTCCTCGCGCCCCGCCTGCCGATGCCCCTGATATCCTCCTTCCTCTTTGTGACCATCGTCCCCCCCCTCCCCTCCCCTCCTCCCCTTTCCCGTACGTCGCCGATGACCGCCTCATCCATACAGATGGGCTTAGGGCTTATGTACCCGCTAAGGCTTTAGCGAGCTTGGTAATCCTCCCCCTCTTCCTCCTCCATCCTCCCCTCCCTCTCCTTCCCCCTCCCCCCTCTTCTTCCTCCTTCCCCCCCACTCTCTCCCTCGCTCCCTCCTTCCCCCCCGCTGACACCTTTCCCCCCGCCGTCCCTCCTCCCCCGTATCCTCCTCCCCTTCCATTTTCCCCTCCTCCTCCATCCTCCCCCCTTTCCCCCCCTCCTCCTCCGTTTGCCCCCTCCCCCCCTCTCCTTTCTCTCCCCCTCCCCTCCCTCCCTCGCTCCCCCCCCGCCGCCAGCAGCGCAAGAGCACCCTCCGGGCGACCGTCGGCGTCGACCAGTTCCAGACGGAGCTGCGCGACGCTCTGGGCGACATGTTGGGGTGCGGGGCGGACGGCCCTCGGGCCGACCTGGGCGCCATCGAGAAGAGGCCTCCTCGAAGGGAGGGCGGCGGCGGCGGCGGCGCTCAGCGTCAATCGTGTGACGCCTGGCATCGCTCGGACGTGTGCGTTTTTTTCCTCGGCGAGGACCATCGAGGAACATCCTTTATTTTTTCGCGAAAAAATCACGCACGAAACCGAAAACAAACACAGAGAATGGACGTCCGAGCGATGGCGAGTGTGCAGGAAACCCCTTCCGCAGTCCGTGCCTGCTCGCGCCACGAGGGCGCTGTGCACCGGAGCGGCGGTCCTGGCCAGCGCGGGGCCACAGAGAGCCCCGTGGGGTCGCTGGGCCGGCACAGGGGTCGCGTCAGTCCCACCGGGATGCCGAGGGCTCTGCCCGGGGGCTCCCGATCGGGGCCACGCAGCATGCCGCAAGTTGGCAGCGCCACAAGACGGGATGCGGCCACATATCCGCATCGGTGGCCTCGCGGGCCGGGTCCCTGGGCCGCGACGCCACGGCTGCGGGGCGCTCTTGAGAGGGGGTGGCCCGCGCGGAGCGCATCCGTGCGACGACGCGTCCGCGGGGGATCTTCTCGCCCTGGAAGTCAGACCGCGAGCGCGTCGATGTGGATACGGTAGAGGGAAACAATTACTGAACCCCCCCCTCCCCCCCAAACTCAATGTTGGCACGCGCGGGGGAGACTGCAGTCGAAGCGCATCTCATCAGACCCACCGCCAACTTTGAACATTGGGGGGGGGAGCCGTTGGCAGATGAATGTGGCATGAGTGTTCGCTAATTAGTTCCGAGGCCTGTACGTTCGCCGCGAGCGAGTCCGGTCGAAGCGACCAGCGGTGGCCCTCCGAGGGGGCCGGCTCCCTCGTGGGCGCAGGGCACCGACGAGGGTCTCCGCCGGCGCTCTCTGCCAGACGGCATGGGGGATCGAATGCTGCAGGTAGCCTCGCCCCCTGTGGGGCCCAAAAAGCCAGCGGGGTGACATGGACCCCCCCAGAGGAGAGGGAGGGAGGGAGGAGGGCACTCGTCTGACCTACCCACCACCCACCAAGCCACCCCAACCCAACCCGAAGGTCTCAATTTGCCCTCGATTTCCAGTGGGGGGGGGTCGGGGAACATTGAGAAACCACGTATGGAACCCGTACCCCCCCCCCAAACCGAAATTCGGGTCTTCGGGTTGGGTTGCGGTGGTTTGGTAGGTAGTCACCTACAGTCAGCCCGCATAGTAAGGATGGGCAATATTCCCGAGGGTACCCTTGCATGTGTGCCTCCTCGGTCTGTCCTTGGCCAGTTTTGTTCGCCACGCGGCGCTCGGAAAGCTTCGAAATGGGCGTCCAAGGCCCTTGCATCCTCATCGCGCATCCTTGTGATACGGGCCGACGGTAGATGGCTCAGCCGACCTAGATGCGCTTTGGACTCCAGTCGAGAACCCAGACCCCCGACCTCTCATGACGTTCCTTCAGCGTCCGCTGATGTACTGTAACATGTGTTGGCGTGAGGCTTCGGTTTCCTTGCGGACCGTGCGCCGGGAGGATCAAGCGGGATCCAGGGCAAGTGTGAGGCCTTCGAGGTGGGCGTGGGAGGAGGAGGGGGGGGATGGGGAGGGGGACAGGATGGGGGAGGAGGGGGGGGAATGGGAGGAGGAGGGGGGGGGATGGAGGACGAGGGAGAGGAGGCGGAGCATCTCGGCGGTGAAGAGGCTGCTGCCCATCTGGAACTCCCTTCCGAAGAGCGCGGTCGGGCGGATCGAGCGCCCCATGCTCCGATACATGGTGCACCGCTACTTCATGGGCACGTCATCACTGGTGGCAGTGTCGGGGAGAGGAGGCTGAGCTGAAGGAGGAAGAGGCGAACGATCAGGAGGTTCGACTCATGAGGGAACGCAGGAGGAGTCAAGGCGGCACGGGAGGACGTGAACAAGAAGGCCGAACCTGAGGACAAACGGGAGAAGAGAGGGGAGGAGTACGAGGGGACGACAACGGGTAGGATGACGAAGAGGAAGAGGAGGAGGAGGAGGAGGAGGAGGAGGAGGAGGAGGAGGAGGAGGATGGTGAGGAGGAGGAAGAGGAGGAGGAGGAGAAGCAGGAGAAGGAGGACGGGAGGTTGCGCAGCACGAGGCGGTGGAGGAGAAGGAAGAGCTGGCGGAAGATGAGGAGGAGGGGAAGACGTAGGAGGAGGAGGAGGAGGAGGAGGAGGAGGAGGAGGCGGAGGAGCAGGAGGAGGACGACGAGGAGGAGGAGGAGGAGGAGAGGCGGCTGATAACGAATGGCCAGGAGGAGGCGCATGAGAAGGGGAGGATTTAGGATGTTGGGGGTGGAGGAGGGGGAGGATCAGGCGACGAGGCGGGGCTGGCGTTGAGGGAGTCGGCCCTCTTGTCACCCGATGAGCGTCAGGAGGAACAAACTTTTCCTGGCGAGCGACCCAACCATACGCTGTCGTGAGTACCGCGTTGTGGGTACTGCTTTCGGTGGGGCTCCCTATGGGGCCACGAACCGTGTGAAGGGTGTGCCGACATTGGCGTCGGGCGTGTGCGGACCCTGCAACTGGGGCAGTCGGTGGAGCTCCCTATGAGGTCACGAACCGTGTGAGAGGTGTGCCGAAATGGGCGTCGGGCGCATGCGGACCTTGCCACTGGGGCCTTCGGTGGAGCTCCCTATGGGGCTGCGAACCATTTGAAGGGTGTGCCGAAATGGGCGTCGGGCGCATGCGGACCTTGCCACTGGGGCCTTCGGTGGAGCTCCCTATGGGGCTGCGAACCATGTGAAGTGTGTGCCGAAATGGGCGTCGGGCGCATGCGGACCTTGCCACTGGGGCCTTCGGTGGAGCTCCCTATGGGGCTACGAACCGTGCGAAGGGGGTGCCGAAATGGTTGACATGCGGAAGGCAGAGGCAATGGAAGGGAGGAGGGAGGAGGGGGAGGAGGAGGAGGAGGAGGAGAGGACGGAACGCGGGGCGCTGTCTCTTCAAAACAAGGACCCAAACGATGCTCCATTCCACAGAGACTCGGGAAGCTTTGAAAGTGAAGGTGAAAACGAACATCAAGAACACGTGGCAATATTCTGAATATTGGGGTCTGTGTCTATTCATTGCGAGGGCCTTACGGCCGGTGCCTCCGACCCTGAAGGGGGACGGCGATGACGACGACGGCGACGACGAAACACTTTAGAACACACAGTGAGTATTGATCTTACCCTCTTGGGGTTCTTTGGGGAGTGCTCTAGGGGCTCTCTTGAGCCTCTTGCGGGTCTCTGGGGCGCCTCTTGGGGCCTCCTGAGGGCCTCTCGGGGCAGGAAGGCTCGAAATGTTGGTTGGTGTTCTCCTCTCAGGAGCGTCTTGGGGCCCTCTTCGGCTTTCTTCTGGGCTTCTTGGGCCGTCTTGTGGCCGTCTTGGGCCGTCTTGGGATCGCCTTGGATTGTTTTGGGACGCTTTCGACAGCTTCTTGGGCCGTCGTGGCGCTTTCAGGGGCTGCACATACTGATTGGACACCCGTGTTGTTCGCCTCCCAGGGCCCTCTTTGGGTTCCTGTTGGAGCTCTCTTGTGGCGTCTTGGGGGGTTCCGAAGCGTCTTGGGGTACAGTCAAACAGCATGGCAATGATGTGCAATTGTCCTGGAGGTGCCCTTGCATCCTTGCCCCTTCGGCCCATCCTTGGTCACTTTCGTTGGCCGCGCTCCT